AACTCACTTACACTATTAAGCGGCTGTGTTATGAACATGCAAAACTGTATCGCACGCGTGCTACAGTGGTAAATTTATTCATCGCACAGACCAGTTTTTTCGTAGCACGTGCGACATATATGTCGCACTGTACAGCCCTGTAAGGGATCACATACTTGTTCCTGCAATGGTAGCTGAGCTCTTTAAGCGTTGTAGAGTCTTTCAAACTGCAGTGCAGGAAGCTGCGGGTCTGCAGAACAAATTTGCATATCATTTTGTACAAGCTTTGTGTTTTTGTGTGCAATAGTTTGGGCTGTTCACAACCACTGACAGTGGGCTGAACACAGCTCGCAGATTGATGACTGAACACGCGCATTACTATTGATGGACGCTTGTTTTTAAAGAATCACTCCATCATTGGGTCCATCTAGCAGTGCCTTGACAGAGGCTACACACACACACACGCGCACACGCACGCACTCACGCACACGCACGCACGCACTCACACACACGCACGCACGCACCCACACACACACACGCACTCACACACACACACGCACTCACGCACTCACACACACACACACACACACACACACACTCACACACGCGCACACACACACCTCTCTTGAAAGCAGTGAGCGGCGGAGAGGATCCAGCAGGAGTCGATGAGGACGCCGCCGCACAGAAAGTTGTATGATTTGGCGCGTGGCAGATAGACGGTGATGGCGGCCTGCCACGGCTGCTCTCGGATATCACTGACCTGACCTCCACGAATCCTGAACATGGGCAGAGAGTTTGAAGGAGCTTCAGTGCGCTGCCCGCAGGAGCCTGAGTGCGAGAGATAATGAGGAAAAACTCATAGAGACCAGAATCACAGAATCACACAGACTCTTTTCATGCCACTCGTATTCTTTATGAAATGTGAAAGTCTCGGTGTCTTTCACCGTCTCACCTTGATTGTTGGTGGTTATAGGGGCTCGTGGTCCGAGTGTGGTGATTGATGGAGTTTTCCTCGCTGTGGAAGAAGACAAATATGGTTTAAAAAAGCACCCACACAGTTTTAGAAAAATAAATGTGTCAGGGCCGATTGAAATGAATAACAGCGCATTTTAACCAAAACATGAGGCACATATTGAGTCCACATTACATTCACACAGGTATTTTAGGAACCCAATTCAATCAAATAATACTACTAATAATAATAAATTAGTTAAAGCATGATAACAATAATAATTATTTTTATTTTAATTATCTGTTTATTACATTTTGTGTTATTCAATCATTTTTATTAAATAGTCAAAACAATAATAATAATAATAAATTAGTTAAAGCATGATAACAATAATAATTATTTTTATTTTAATTATCTGTTTATTACATTTTGTGTTATTCAATCATTTTTATTAAATAGTCAAAACAATAATAATAATAATAAATTAGTTAAAGCATGATAACAATAATAATTATTTTAATTTTAATTATCTGTTTATTACATTTTGTGTTATTTATTCAATCATTTTTATTAAATAGTCAAAACAATAATAATAATAATAAATTAGTTAAAGCATGATAACAATAATTATTTTATTTGTATTATCTGTTTATTTAATTGTATGTTATTTAATCACTAATTTATAATAATTAGACAAAACAATTATCATCATATAATAATTATTTATTATTATTATTATTATTAACTAATTATAAAACTAAGACAAATATATTACTGTTGTAAATTACAATTGTACTTTAAAATAAAAAATATTTGATTACAATAATTTTATTTACATTATAGTTGCAATATTAATGTTTATGTCTTAAATTCTTCACTTTCAAACGTTCAAATTCTCAAGCTTTAAACATATCAAACAAGGTTATTATCGTTAACTAAAACCATTAAAAAAAAACATTTTCATTACTTGAAATAAAATAAAATATTTAAAATGTTTTATTTCAGCTAGTTGACAATAAAAAAATGTGAATCTCTCTGACACCAAAATAAAAACTAAAACTATAGATATATATAAAAAAATAGAACTGATGAAAACACACAACAAAATTGCTAAAACTTTAAAATTAAAATACTAAATAAAACAGAATAAAAAAATAGAATCTCTCTGATACCAAAATAAAAAATAAAACTATAGATATATTTTTAAAAAACGAATAGAACTGATGAAAACACACAACAAAATTACTAAAACTTTAAAATTAAAATACTAAATAAAACAGAATTAAAAAAATTGGAATCTCTCTGATACCAAAATAAAAACTAAAACTATAGATATATAAAATAAAAAAAACTAATAGAACTGATGAAAACACACAACAAAATTACTAAAACTTTAAAATTAAAATTCTAAATAAAACAGAATTAAAAAAAAAAATAGAATCTCTCTGATACCAAAATAACACTAATTTTAAATCCTCAAGCTTTTATTTTGGTGGAATACGTCCGTAAAGCTGTAAACTTGTCTCCTCAAAAGTAGTGGAAATTATACAAATGAGAACCCTTGTGTGGGGAAATCTTACATTACTCTAAGACTGAACAGTGAAGTGCATCAGTTAGTCATGTGCTCGTAGATCAGTGACTAATAATGTCACGGCAGCAGTGCAGACTTACGGCACTTAGGGACGTCACAGAGCTCCCAGGTCAACTGAGACCCTTTATAGACGTGACACCAGGGGCCGAGGTCACCATCCGGGTTCCTGTGAGGGAAAACAGCCAGAGAGTTAGAGATGAAGTGTGGAGACCTGATTTCTGATGCACACTGAGGATGAGACTTTACAGTGTTTTTACCACACTTAGAATTTTAAAAGCTACTTCTGGGCATAACTGGCTAGGAAGTGCATAGTGAATGGTTCTAAATGACTAATGTACCATGATATTTACGACACTCCAAAGTAGAAGACTAAAGAATTCCACAGAATTAGCATGTTACATATTCAAAAAAAAAAGCATTTAATACTGTTTTGTTAGTGAACACACAGCCTTTCACAACAGCAAGACGATAAAATGCACCAGTATTCAATTGTTCAGTCGAAATTTTAAAACAAAAACAAACATTGGCGACAAATATTTTCATTGTCGAACGGTCACTTTCGTGTCCGAAAGCATGAAAGGTTAGTTAGAAAGAATGCAAACAAACAGGATGAATTTTTGTGTAATAATATTTCAATTATACGTAAGCTCTATTTACACAAATGTACATTTTTTAAAGTTGCTCCAAGTTTTGTGCCATTTAAAAATTAATTTATAATTTAAATCCTTAAAAGCAGCTGAAAAAAGGAATGCCTTAAAAATCTCTCTCTCTCTCTCTCTCTCTCTCTCTATATATATATATATATGTGTGTGTGTGTGTGTGTGTGTGTGTGATTCATTGTACCTGCAGAAGTTGTGGCTGCCGATGCCCATCTCTCTGGCGTCGGACCTCCATGCGTTGTAGATCTTACGAGACACTGCGGGTGAATCCCACGAAAGACACTTCAAACCGTTGCGTGAGACGGCTTTTGTCCCTCTGTAGGTCTGACCTGATCCCCGTGTGCACTCTAGATAGGGGTCTGAAACGACACAGCTTTAATTAGTACACACTAAATGGATATGGATATCTATGTCTGTGTGTGTTGAGAGTTTGTACCGATTATGCAGGTCGGTAAAAAGCAGAACTCCCATGAGATCTGAGCCTTTTTATAAACGTAACACCATGGTTTAGTGTCTCCATCTGGATTCCTGGGAATAAAACACAACCCAAACATGATTATTATTAATATACTCACCAACAACACAATACAGCTCAATGCATGAAAGCAAAAAGCGTTTTTTTGGTTTAAAAGCATGGTGAAATCAATTTGCAAATCACATGGAAGAGCAATATGACATCAGTGTTTAATCTCATGCCTTAAAGAACAAAGCCTGGAGGAGGAAGTGCATGCGCACCTGCAGTAGTTGTGATTTCCCAGTCCCAGTGTGTTTGCCTCTAGTCTCCTGGCAGTGAATTTCTTCCCTCGGAGTGAGCTGGAATTCCAGTTAATACACTCCAGTCCTGACATGCTCATGCTCCGGGTGCCACGGTAACCCGACCCCTGACCCCTGGAACATCGCTCAGCTGTATCTGAGAGAAAAACAAGAAAACATACCATCAAAATGGGCCTTATTAATGTTCATGTTATCAATTATTGCATGCTTTTGTTGAACAACACATGTATAAGGCCAAAAGGGAATCTCATTGAGGGTGATAGCAACTATAATACTAAAAAGAGTATGTTACACCAATTATACTAATTATACTATATAATTTTACTAGCAACTAATAATACTAAAATATGTTACACAAGTTATACTAATTTTACTAGCAACTAATAATATTAAAATAAGTTACACTAGTTATACTTATTTTACTAGCAACAAATAATACTAAAATAAGTTACACTAGTTATACTAATTTTACTAGCAACAAATAATACTTATTTTACTAATTTTACTAGCAAGAAATAATACTAAAATAAGTTACACTAGTTATACTAATTTTACTAGCAAGAAATAATACTAAAATAAGTTACACTAGTTATACTAATTTTACTAGCAAGAAATAATACTAAAATAAGTTACACTAGTTATACTAATTTTACTAGCAAGAAATAATACTAAAATAAGTTACACTAGTTATACTAATTTTACTAGCAAGAAATAATACTAAAATAAGTTACACTAGTTATACTAATTTTACTAGCAAGAAATAATACTAAAATAAGTTACACTAGTTATACTAATTTTACTAGCAAGAAATAATACTAAAATAAGTTACACTAGTTATACTAATTTTACTAGCAAGAAATAATACTAAAATAAGTTACACTAGTTATACTAATTTTACTAGCAAGAAATAATACTAAAATAAGTTACACTAGTTATACTAATTTTACTAGCAAGAAATAATACTAAAATAAGTTACACTAGTTATACTAATTTTACTAGCAAGAAATAATACTAAAATAAGTTACACTAGTTATACTAATTTTACTAGCAAGAAATAATACTAAAATAAGTTACACTAGTTATACTAATTTTACTAGCAAGAAATAATACTAAAATAAGTTACACTAGTTATACTAATTTTACTAGCAAGAAATAATACTAAAATAAGTTACACTAGTTATACTAATTTTACTAGCAAGAAATAATACTAAAATAAGTTACACTAGTTATACTAATTTTACTAGCAAGAAATAATACTAAAATAAGTTACACTAGTTATACTAATTTTACTAGCAACAAATAATACTAAAATAAGTTACACTAGTTATACTAATTTTACTAGCAACAAATAATACTAAAATAAGTTACACTAGTTATACTAATTTTACTAGCAACAAATAATACTAAAATAAGTTGCACTAGTTATACTAATAAATAAGTTAAACTAGTTATACTAATTTTACTAGCAACAAATAATACTAAAATAAGTTACACTAGTTATACTAATTTTACTAGCAACAAATAATACTTATTTTACTACCAACAAATAATACTAAAATAGGTTACACAAGTTATACTTATTTTACTAGCAACTAATAATACTAAAATAAGTTTCACTAGTTATACTAATTTTACTAGCAACAAATAATAATAAAATAAGTTACACTAGTTATACTAATTTTACTAGCAACTAATAATCCTAAAATGCATAAGTTACACTAGTTGTACTAATTTTACTAACAAATAATAAAAATAGTAAGTTATACTAGTTATACTATACTAGCAATTGATACTAAAAATAGCAAGCTACACTAGTTACACTAATTTTACTAGCAACTAATAATTCAAAAAATAGTAAGTCACACTAGTTATACCAATTTTACTAGCAACTAATAAAACTAAAAATAGTAAGTTATATTGGTTATACTAATTTTAATAGCAACTAATACTACTAAAACAGTTAATAACTAGCAACTAATACTACAAACATAGTAAATAATACTAGTTACGCAAATTTTACTAGGAACTAATGATACTAAAAATAGTACGTTTTATTACTTACGCTAATTTTACTAGCAATTAATGATACTAAAATACTAGTTATACTAGTCACACTACATTTATTAGCAACTAATGATACTAAAAAAAGTAAGTTATACTAACTACACTAGCAACTAATAATACTAAAAATGATAAGTTATATTAGTTACACAAAATTTATTAGCAATTAATGATACTAAAAAGGTTATACTAGATATACTAATTATACTAGCAACTAATAATACAACAAAATAGTAAGTTATACTAGTTATACTACTTATACTAGCAAATAATAATACTAAAAAACAGTAAGCTATACTAATATACTAAAATATAGTAAGTTATACTAATTTTTCTAGCAACTAATAATACAAAGCAAAAACAAAATTAAATATAAGTAAAATTAGTATAACAAAAAAAAACTCTAAACAGTGATAAACAGCTGTATTTGCTGCAAGGTCAAATGCTGATGGCTTACTGATTTCACACTGTGTTCCTGTAAACCCGGGCGGACACAGGCAGATGAAGTCATTGGAGTAAACGGCTTCTTTACACGTCCCTCCATTATAACACTTAGACACGAAACATTCTGAAAAACAGAATAATAAACACCTGTGTGTCCATTGTGGACTATTTCTGAGTTCAATAAATTACATTTATTTTATTGCTTCGAAATGCTATTCTAAGTGTGCTACGAACATTTGTGGTCTTTCCAAAATATTCGTAATTAATTGGGTGTAAAGTGGTTTTGTATAATGATTACATCATTTTATATTTAGAAATATAACAACTTTTACAACATTAGGATCAATAAACTGTGGTCAAGTCGTAGCACGGATCATACTGTGCCATAACTGAAAATCACACGTGTTTTTAATTCCAGTGATTTTTTCCGTGACCGCAGGATGAGAATATAGTTTAGATCTGCTTGAGCGAGTGACTCATGGGGAGAGGATGCTCTGGGTGACTCTACACTCAAATTTCAATGATTTTAATTCAGATAGATGGTGCTGCACGTTTTTCATCCAGCGGACACACACGCACACACAAACACACACACTCTCTCACTCTCACACACACACAAAAGAAATACATAAATATATATATATATATATATATACATTTTACAATTTATACACACTTATTATTTTATAAATCAAATAATAAATGTTTCTTTTTCTTTACAAAGGTTAGTCTATTATAAAAAGCTGTATGGTAGAGTGTGTGACCACTCACTGGTCACTGGTATCTCATGACAGCGTACTCTTCCTCGTACGGCGCAGCGGCAGAATTCAACTTTCTGACCCTTCCATCGCAGCCACGTCGCCCCAGTGTCTCTGACCGCAGCCGAATTAGCGTCCACACAAGCGTCTGACACACACAGACACAAAATGACACAGAAATTAAGACATTATGGCTGTGGTCAGTGATAGATGCAAATTAAATGACTCAAGCCTTCTCCTCCACATCAGACTGAGGAAAGACAGAGAGGACAGAAACAAACCAAGGACAAAATGAAAGACAGCATTCTGAGCAGAAGACAGTCTTGATGTGTTTGTCCTGAATGCTGAAGTTCTGCTTGTGAATGTGTGACATGTATGTTTTTCCTGTGTACATAGCGCCACCCTAATGGACAATAACATACTGAGGATATGATTGGTATAACATACTAACACATTACATTACTACAGTACATTACTATTACGGTTACCATCTTGAAAACAAAAACATTAAATTTTTAATCCATTTAAAAAATGACTTCTGGCAGTCATACGAGTCAAATGATACGTAAAATTGATATATGATGATTTAATCAATTTAATCAAGAGCCATAAATGAATGAATCTAAATTAAGATGACAGTATCAAACAGTATAAAAACACATCTTAATTTACACATAACCGATTTAAAACATTGTGGGATTCGAATCGATTCTGAATCTGTTCATTTACATAAACAGTTCGAACAAACCGAATCACTATAATGAATTGGACTTTTCATTGACACTTATAAATTGATTCACTAGAATGAATCTGACTCAGTCGCACTCGTTGGCAAAGGTAGCTAGTTATTAGAGAAGCCATAATAGCATATTACACAATAACACAGCTGTCTTTAATTTACTGTCACGCTACTGAAACGTTAGGTTAGTAGAGTTACAGTCAAAACAAACTATTGATATTTCAAAGATTAATTTAGACACCAAGCCACTGACAAACATGACATGATACTGAATGCTTCAGCCAGCCTTGATTTTCAGGAAACCTCTCGTAAGCAATATAAAAGTACTTTCCAATGACTATTTGAAGTAAAAAATCAATCGTTTTCCGTCAAGCTGAACTGTAGCACTGATCGCGCTCTAATTACGTATGCAACTTGTACAAATACAACAATTTGATTGGCTGATGAACCTGACAATCAATTATATTCTAATCATTCTGAATCATTCGTACTGTCAAGGAAAGCTCGAAGGGGCGGGGCTTAGACTACGAATCGCTTGAGACAAATTCTGATTGGACAAAGTTTTCTCTCAATATTAATTTTCGCCACGCTCCGGCATGTTGACAGAATCAGAAATAAGCAAATAAGCAATAAGTTAAAAATAAGCAAATAAGATAAATAAAATGGAAATTTATTTATTTATGTGTTACACCAGCAAAAGTGTTTTGCTGGCCATGTGAGTTTGCCACTGTTGTATTCCATGCATAAAGGAAATTAGCAATAATGCATAGACAACATACTGCAGAAATAACATGCAGTACATGCAACATAGCCAGAGATGAAGTTGAGAGGTCAGAATAAAACTCACCTCTATATGTGCGCGTGCCTCTCTTCTGTCTGATATTCAGCACCTGTCAGAGATGCAGAATGTTGTTCAATCCAGATATCATCCATTTACTGTACATCTATCTCTCTCTCTCACACACACACACACACACACTTACTGTGGGATCTGCAGCACAGCACAGAGCAGTTAGAAGCTGCAGCATCAGGTTTAGCAATAAATTCATGTTGACCTGAAGGTTTCTCTCCTGCAAAACAAACAGAAAGGTTTGTTACAATTTCACGGGAAAATGTTATTGCTCATATGTTGCTCTTTTATATCTTAATGAAAAGAAAATGAAATAAAAAATAATACAAATATATAGAAATATTTTTAAAAATAGCCTATTCAAGATGACAAAACCAACAGAAGTAGTAAATCTTTAACTAAAACTTAAAATGGAAAAATAAAAACTATAAGGTGATTCTAACATAACACTGGTTCATATTTTAAAACAGCACAAAAAATGTGCCATGGCATCAGCAGAAATGCAATAACAATCTGTTTCCACTTTGAAACCAAGTTTTTTGGTAATGTGTTGGCCTTTTTTAGTCTAAATAAAGAAAGGGTTTAATGGCTTTATGATCTGTTTTTCTTTTGTCTGACATTGTGAGCGTCCCATGTGAAACAGAGACTTTAACAATGACCACAAAACATAGAAAAGAGTTTCTGCTTCTGAAAATAAATTACTCATGCACTACCACATCACACACACACACATATGTTGGTATTGGTGGTTTACGGGGACTCTACATAGGCGTAATGGTTTTTATACTGTACAAACTGTATTTTCTATCGCCCTACACCTAAACCTACCCCTCACAGAAAACTACTGCCAATTTTTTTATTTCATAAAACACCATTTAGTATGTTTTTTAAGCCTTTTGGTTTATCGGGACACAGGAAGTGTTTACATTGTAGTACCCATGTCATTATACACATTTGTGTCCTCATAAACCATATATACCCGAACACACACACAATATGGTTACAGCTTCTTTGAGCCACTGTGTGTGTGCGCGCGCGCGCGCGTGTGTGTGTGTGTGTGTGTGAGAGTGTGAGTGTGTGTGTGTGTGTGTGTGTGTGTGTGTGATGAAGACGGTTCATGGGTCTCTTCCTGTTGGCTGCAGTGCCTTGTAAACACAGATGATGATATTTGTGAGTGACATGAGAAAACAAGGGAGTGTTTCTGATATGTTAAAGTAATATATGTTTGGATATAAAAACACATGTAAATGAAATCCATGCAACTAATGTAACAAAAAAACTCATTGATAAAATTATTTTCTTATTCAACATTTCAATGGCAAAATCTCAAAACACAAGAACAGAACAATATTCACTGTGTCTATTAGATTACAACCTAACCAGTTTATCCAGCACTCACCGGTTATACATTTTTAACAATTATTAGCCTATTCAGTCAGCACTGGCAGATTAAGGTGGGAAAACCCCTGTCACAACTGCTTCTCCTAAACACCATTGTGAATCGAAATCTTTCTCAGATGTTTCTCCAGAGAAAAATTCCCCAGTAATCTCACATGCATCTCCTCTAGGGTTTCATTTCTCATCAAATTCTTCCAAGATCACTGTATGTCAGTGGCTGAGTCACTTGTATCTGTTTATTTATCAGAATAAACACATCTGCCACTAAGTTGGTGTTAAATGCAAACACAAAAACACATGCACATAAAGTCAGCACTCATGCAGTATAATGCAGCGGTTAGTTGCATGTTCATTAAGGGCGTGAGACGTTACAGTGACCATGGTGTGCAGGAAACATATGGACCCAGCTGACATGAGAGAGAGAAAACACATTCACACACACACACACACACACACACACACACACACTCAACAGAAACAACACAAGTGGATCTGTCTGACCTGATGCAAGCTGAGCGTCTGCAGAATGACACTGCTGTAAAACCTCACCCGCTTTTCTTTCTCTTTCCCCCTCTCAACTCCCTTTCCTTCCGTTCTCCTCTCTTGGTATCCTTATTATTTGACCTCATTCACAATGTGCAGCAGCTCTCATGAGTCAGTATGAACTCTCTCTTTATGAGTCACATACATATAAAACCACAGACTGGCAACGACCTCAAACTTAAGAGTATTTTGTCTACAACCTTCTTCAGCCTCAAACTGGAGTATTTTTTAGTCTTAAACTTCCTCAACCTCAAACTTAATTGTATTTTAGTCTTTAAACTTCTTCAACCTCAACCTTAAGGGCATTTTAGTCTTCAGACTTCAACCTCAAACTTGAGTTTTTTTGTCTATAAAATTCAGAGTATTTTTGACTGCAAACTTCTTCAACTTCAAACTTGACTATTTTTAGTCTTCAGATTTATTCAACCTCAAACTTGAGTAGTTTTTGTCTATAAACTTTTTCAACCTCAAACTTCAGTATTTTTAGGCTTCAAACTTCTCCTTCAAACTTGAATATTTTGTCTTCAAGCTTCTTCGATCTCAAGCTTAAGAGTATTTTTAGTCTTAAAACATCTTGAACTTCAAACTTAACATTATTTCGGTCTTCAAACTTCTTTGACCTCAATCATAAGAGTATTTTTGACTTCAAACTTCTTCAAACTCAAACCTGAGTATTCTTGTCTTCAAAGTTCTTTAATCTCAAACTTATGAGTATTTTTAGTCTTCGAACATCTTGAACTTCACACTTAACAGTATTTTTGACTTCAAACTTTTTCAACCTCAAACTGGAGTATTTTTAGTCTTAAACTTCCTCAAACTTAAGAGTATTTTAGTCTTTAAACTTCTTCAACCTCAACCTTAAGAGCATTTTAGTCTTCAGACTTCAACCTCAAACTTGAGTTTTTTGTCTATAAAATTTAGAGTATTTTTGACTGCAAACTTCTTCAACTTCAAACTTGACTATTTTTAATCTTCAGATTTCTTCAACCTCAAACTTGAGTAGTTTTTAGGCTTCAAACGTGAGTATTTTGTCTTCAAGCTTCTTCGATCTCAAGCTTAAGAGTATTTTTAGTCTTAAAACATCTTGAACTTCAAACTCAACATTATTTCGGTCTTCAAACTTCTTTGACCTCAATCATAAGAGTATTTTTTACTTCAAACTTCTTCAAACTCAAACCTGAGTATTTTTGTCTTCAAAGTTCTTTGAATTTTTAGTCTTCGAACATCTTGAACTTCACACTTAACAGTATTTTTTACTTCAAACGTTTTCAACCTCAAACTGGAGTATTTTTAGGCTTTAAACTTCACCTTCAGACAAAATATTTCTGTCTTCAAGCTCCTTCGATCTTAAGCTTAAGAGTATTTTTAGTCTTCAAACATCTAGAACTTCACTAACAGTACTTTTGACTTCAAACTTCTTCAAACTCAAACCTGAGTGTTTTTGTCTATAAACTTAAGCCTCAAACTTAAGTCTTCAAAGTTCTTCAACCTTAAACGTATTTTATTTTTGTAAAAGTATTTTCTCTTCAAACTTAAACCTCAAATTTGAGAATTTTTGACTGCAAAATTCTTCAACCTCAAACATGAGTATTTTTGTCTTCAAACATCTCGAGCTCAAACTTGAGTATTTCTGATTTCAATCTTCCTCAACCTCACGCTTAAGACTATTTTTTCAGCTTACAGTCAAAAACATCCTTAAAACAAGACATATTCATCTGAGAGTTAACACGGCAAGATATATAAAGAATTCAGTACATGGGTCAAAGACGAAAAAGGGTTTAAACATAAAAACTATACTGCTTTAAATTGTTGTTGTTTTTCCAAAAAAAAAAAGAAAAAAGTTTTCTGTTTAATGTAATTGTATTTTTGTTTTTTGTTTTTCTGAGCAAAAAATAAATATCATACATTTTCCCTTGATTTACAGAAGACACCCACTAAAATGTCATTCCGTGTAACAATCTTGTCAGGCATATTTACAACAAAAATGTATTTATTACATATTAAATAACTAATTACTTTTACCCCAAATACTAATTAGTTGTCATTTTACATTTTTTTAAATTTGCCACTATCCTAGGTTTTGCCCATTTGTCAGTAAGAATTTTTTACTCATTTAAAACCCAATAAAATTTAATATGCTCACTTATTCTTTTATACATCTTAATATGTACAGGTCAGAATAAGCATGTTGTTTGAATTTTTACATAACTATACGTGTTACACTGAATGACAATGGAACATTATTTCAACCCAATTTTGACATTTTATTCTTCAAAAACGTATTTGAAACCTTAAATGCAGACACTTTACTCACGTTTAATGTGCTTTCTATGGACATAAAATAACTTTTGTAAATTTCTTTTGATGTGGACATCTTAACGTCTTTGACCCACATGCAACTTGAATATAAGCAAATGCATAACCATTTGTCTTGAATTCACAGCATTTTAAGCATAAAAATCACTAAAACATAGTGAGAACAGCTGGCACAAATCTTTAAATGTTTCAGTTTCAGCTCTCAAATCTTGTTTTAAGGATGTTTTAACTGGAAAACAACAAGTTGTTTCACTGTTGCAAAGGGAAAACATGCAGCATTTGATATCCACATGTCTTGAGAAATCTGATCCTTACTTTCGGCCCCAAAGGAAAAACACAGCACCATTGTCCAGCAGACAGAAACACGTGGGAGGGAAGAATAGAGGAATAGATTACTGCAAACGTGATGAGTGAGTCGAAAAGCTTGTAAAGGAGTGAAGCTGAGTCACCGCACACAGAGAGAACGAGAGACACACACACACAGCGTTCTCATTACGAGTCTGTCTATCTGTCCTGCATCTGTCCATCTGTAAGCGCACGATAAACACGAGGGCCGAACGAGCGCAGGATAAGAGAAGCTGCATGCAATTTGAAGCAAAAACAACTAGTAACATGTTAACGTCAGCACGAGCAGACCTGGTGAGTTATGAGCAGCCTAAAAGGAATCTGACTTAAACCAACAAAGAGCCACCAACACAGCGGTGTGTCTGTAAAGCACAGATCTTATGCATTAGAGCGTGCTGTAAATGTGCTGACTGTGAGCCGACTGCAAACATACATCATAACCCTGATCTTAATAAAAGCCAGAGGCGGTTTGTACTCATTCTAGTCTGGTGGGTTAATATTGCAACCGTCTTTAGATTAGGAGCAGTCTTAAAGTGTGTCTGACACACGGTAGCCTATCTCTCATACGAATGACGTTTTTAGACGCGCAGTGCTGGATGTTCACGGTACCAGCATGCGGTTTCGTAGTTCTCCAGATAAGAGTGGATTTACACACAGCAGAGTGTTATTAGAGGAATAACGAATTCCTGAGCGTCAACGTCACACAAGTCTAAAGGAGCCAACATGAATTACAGTCTGAGTACTGTAAGTGCTGGATACACATCTGATGACTGCAGTGTACTAGTGTATCCAGATCACAAGCACAGATCCTTTAGGTTGACCAAAACTCTACAAATGCATTTTATACACATACTGTGAAAATACAAAGTGCTCGTTGTGGTTAAACTTAAATTAAAGGGATAGTTCACCCAAAAATGAAAATTTGATGTTTAACATTCGGGAGTGGTGACTTTCCACGTAGTCCCAACTTCTGAGCCTGCTCGCCTCTTCACTTTTGCTCTTCGGCTGGATATCAACACACCCATTAACGTAAACTACGCCAGAGCGCGTACACACCTCACGCACCGGATGCCGTGCGCGCGCTCAAAGAAGTTGGACATAGTGTTGTATTAGAGGTCAAAAATTATATAAATACTGTTCGGTTTCTGGCACAAACCGATCGTTTCGTGTCTTAGGACATCAATGTGTCGTCACGAGCCGCAGGGGTTAATTTGTCTGTGCATGTTTTTTTTACTCTCATAGATTTTGTTACCATTGCCATGCATTATACGACTGACAGACTGCAACGGCTGGACTTAAAAATCATAATTTGTGTTCTACTGAAGAAACAAAGTCACCTACATCTTGAATGCCCTGGGGGTAAGCAGATAAACATAAAATTTTCATTTTTGCGTGAACTATCCCTTTAACAGGTTTTATTCAAACCAAACCAGATCAACCTGAATATATACAGTTGCACCATCATAAGTCACTTTCACAAGTTTAAATCAAGTACAAATAGATTATAAAGGCAACAACTGCACATTTACAAATGTTACAATGTATCAAAATTTAAAAACCTTTTTACCTTCACAATCACATTCTTTAATACTAGATATATAATATAAACATAGATTTTACTTACATGATAGTTATATATTACATAACATGTCGATATTTATACTATTAAATGACTGAATCAACCTGACTACATTACAATTTACAAATATAAAATAAGTCATTTTAAGAATCAGGTATAAATAGCTGCTTAAGGAAACAACTGCACATGTACAAGTTTACAGTGCATTATATATATTTCACACGCTATACAAGTTTGTAGTATATGCAAGTAAAATAAATGCATAACTCTTTGACAGTGTCTCAAATCCCAGTTTGTATTCTATTATACCTGTACCTATGGAAGGTTTTAAATGCTCAGTTTTGCTCTATATTATGCACTGTAAAAATGATAGGTAACCAAAAATCTGATCGTCATATATCAAGTCATATATATAATGTAATATGACTGAATCAACCTGAGTACACGAGTTTACATTTTAAGATATAATGAATCAATTTTAAGAGCCTTATCAAGTATAAATAATAACCTAAATGGAGACAATTGAGCATGTTCGTTTTTACACAATATTAACTATAAGTCATTTTCATACACTATGCAATTTTGTAGAATATATAAGTGAAATAAATGCATACTCGGTGGTGTCTCAAATCCCAGTTCGCTGCGTACTACGACAGTATTTTTGGGCATCATCGGTGAGTTGCCGCATGTGTTCCTGCATCAGGTGTTTTCCGACTCGGTTACCAACGCGCTTATGATGCCCCAAAAATGCTGCTGTCTAGGAAGGCAGCTCTGTGTGTTTTGAAGCACTGCGCTGTTCTGAACTCAAACGCATAAAACGGAACTTGTTTAAGCATGAAATTAAGCGTGCGTTCGCGTCTCACTCACCTCCCGAAACAAGTGCGCCGTACTCCGCTTCCTCTTCAGCGCGCGTGAATGCGTCTTAATCCGAACTAAAGCGTCTCTCCGGATCTCCTCCGTGTCTCTGTGTCTGAGCTCGTGAATCTCAGGATATTTATTGCGGAGGTGATGATGCTGATGCGGGGCGGGGAGAGGGACAGGAATGTCCGATAAATGCGTGAGATCAGTGAGTGTCAGTGATGCAGTACTCAACCTAAGTATGTGGGCACATGAAAATATGTACGCAAGCATTGCATTAGATTAGACAACATCAAGAGTCAGTTATTGTAAAGACAGCAAAAGCTATGAAGCCCGTTTCGGAAAAAAATAGGCCTGACAAGATAATCGCGATTTTTTTTTTAATCTCACAATTCTGAGTTTTTCGCAATTCTGAGAAAAAAAATCTGAATTGTGAGATATAAACTCGCAATTGCGATTTGAAAAAACAAGAGAAACAGAATTGTGAGAAAGAAAATTTGCAAGTAGCCTATTTTTTATTTAGCCTATTTACCGGTATTTTTTATTCCGTGGTGGAAAAATGAATCGCGATATTAATACGAAATAGACAGAATAGTGAGATGTAAATTCGGAATCTGAATTCTGAGTTTCTCCCAATTATGTGGAAAAAAAGCCAAAATTACGAGATATAAACTGGCTATTCTGGCTTTTTTTCCTCAGAATTGAACTGTGAGATAAAAAGTCGCAAATACTTTATTACTTTATTAGGCTACTTTATATTTTTTATTCCGTGGCGGAAATGGGCTTCTGTAAAAAGCACATCACGAGCAAAATACTTGACATGAAGTGATTTCAGATTTAGGTGTTTACAGCAAAAAGTTTTGTGACATTACATCTGTCACAAATCCTGTCCATGAACTTCCGTCCGCTTGCCACCAGAGGTCGCCCTCCCATTATATTGACTCTCACACCACACAGACTGTTACACATCACCCTGGACTACATTTCCCATGCTCCATTGCACTAATCACAAGCTCACCTGAAACCAATCACACACAGCTGCTACTAATAACGCACACTATATAAATCAGTCTCACACCACCATTCAACGCCAAGTATTGTTTATCATTTATGCTGTTATGCGTAGCTACTTTACGGAGCCAGTTCCCGGTCATAGGTTGAGTTTCTAGTTCTGAGTCAAAGTCTAGTTTAATACTGTTTATTGCCTTAGTCATTCGTGTCTTGATCCTAGCCTGTATATCTCGTTTCTGTATGATCTCTGCCTGCCCTGAAGTATATCGCCTGTCTTGGATTACCCCTCTCGTCTCGCCCTGTTCGGATACTGTTTATTCCTCGCCTGGACCATCACCTGTGTTTCGGATTACTCTTCAGTCTTGCCCTCTATATAACTGTTTGCAATTATCCGACTCTTGCCTGTGTTGACCATGTCTTTAAATAAA